TCATTCTGCTGATAAGCATGAAATTTAGAAAGATTCATGATTCAAAATTTTGCGTAAAGCCTGGGGGGGAAGACAGTGTGTTCTGGACAAGGGCTACTTTATTCCAAATTTTTCTCCTACAGCTGTGACATCGTTCCGTCTACTAAATGGGCAGGATTGGTTCAATGCTGCTCTGTGTTTGCTCAGGAATTCACCAGTGTGACTATGATTAGCCCATGCACAAAGAACATTTAAACATGTGCCTTGCACTTATACGTTTTAATTCTATAATCATAAAGTACTGGAAGAAAAGAAGGCTAATGGGTTAAGTTTCAAAAGTCAGACATTTGTAAATAAATAAATAAATAATTATAAGTATGACTTATATAAAAAGTAATCCAGTATTAATCTTCTTTAGAATCTTTGAGAACTATGGCCCAATTCTCTGCAAATTAGATCAGAGATTTTCTATAAGATTCTGCAAAGTTTTAGGCACAGAGTCATGCGTAAAGATTCTGTAGCTATAGTGGATGATATTTTATAGACATTTGTGCAGAAATTCCAGAAAATTGTACAGTTTCTGAAGGTCCCACATGTAGAATCTTATATAATTGAAAAAAGAACCGACTAATAAAGTTCTATTGAAAATATAAGGTCCAGTTTATCGAAAATTAGGCCATAATTCAAAAGTATTCTAAAACGTTTCTTTGCTTTCATTTTGTATAAAAGATCTTATAAGACTTTTGAGAATTTAAAAGCATTATTACATAAAATATTTCTTTTGGAATTAAAAAGAGCGAATTAAATTTTCATTTTGGAATACAATTAATCCCACGCGGAAAGGAGTTGCAAGAAAATGAAGCTCATAAAGTTTACAGACATGAAAAAAGAAATTATATGCTATATCGCTGAAAATATAAGATGTTCTTGCTGAGAACATTTAAATGTTATGAATCGTGAAACGGAGGGAACACTGGATGGATATGATATGTGCTTATGTTCGTAGCTTAGGCCCACCACAAACCAAGCGGTAAAATGGCTGAACATTGGTAGTTTGTGTCCGGTATAAATCTCTGCGAAGGAGCTACTATATGCGAATTTATATAGGTTTTATCCTATGTACAGGGTAAATTACTTTATTTAGACTTATGTATAGCTCGTTCATATATGGCTTGCCTATTTCGTTGAAATTTGGCGTATCCGTTACATGGGCCATTTGGGAAAAGAAAACTGCAATAAAAAATAATAGTTCAAATATCGAACACCAAGGGAGAAGGGCATGAAGAACAAAAAACTCAAATTGGAAAAAACAAAGCTTTATTCAATCACAGCATTTGTTCAATATGCATTCCACTTGCGTCAATCACAAGTTCATGCTACAGCGTGTCCAACAATAATGCGAAAGTTTTCTCGATGAATTGCAGCAACATGATGTGTTATACTAACTTTCAATTCTGGCATAGTCCGTACTCTTCCTCCATAGATATGATCTTCCAGGAATCTCCACAAGAAGTCACAAATATTCAAGTCCAGAGGCAGGGCAGTAGGGAAACATTTCGAAATTACTTGATCATATTTAAAGCGGGCACAAAGCAATGCCTTCTTTGGTACTGCAATGTGAGATGATGCACCATCTTGCGTTAAGAAGCAGTCACCAAACATTCTAGTTTTTGTAAGGCAAGAATGACTTGCTGTTTAAGAAGTTCGCAGTAACGGGACTCACGATAAAACACCTTTGAGGACCTTGAGAAGTTTTCTGCTCAAAGAAAAAGGACCAATAACGGAATTAACAGTAAAACCGCACCATACAGTAATGTAATCAGGATTCAGAGAATGTTTTCATGCAGAGTATACAGACTTGAAGGACCATATGTGACAGTTTTGTACCATACTCGACGTTAAGAACATATGTGACAGTTTCAAATATTAACCGCTTCGTCTGGGGCAAAATACAATTTGACCGAACACAAAAATGTTCCAAGGCTATGTATGCACTGTCAAAGGCTACTCTGGCCAAAAGAAGGCTAGCACAATGAGGTTTTCTATCCGAGTCTGCAGGATGCAGCTCTTGCAGAACTTGAATTTTATATAGATACCACTTTACAACTGATCGCAGAATCTTTCGTACCAACTGTCAGATAAATCCCGACCAACTGTCAAATAAATCACGTGACATCGCTCGAGCACTAGTCGAAAAATATTGAGAAACCTTTTTTTCGCGGTAACACAACATAAGTACCTAAGTACATTTCAGAATAATTGCTGGAGAGCATGGGGGAAACAGAAGTTTAAGTATGAATGAAAGTGTATGAGGGCCAAATGAGACAATAAAAGAAGGGTAATTGTAAGAGTTATGGAAAATCTTTGTAAGATTTATTACTAATGCTGTTTCCTTCCAGATATGGAAGGACCAAGACTAAAACCAAGAGAATAACTTTTGGAGTAAAAGAAGTTGATGTATGTAAAGAAAGCAGATGAAAAATTGTAAAATTTTATTTTCTAGCTTTAGTCTAGCTTTAGATTTGTTGTAAAGTTGGCTCTAACAACAGAAGTTAAGATGCATTTAGTTAATGAAAGTGTTAAAAGTGTGCAGTTAACACAGAAAGTTTTCAGACTTTAAGTCTTAAACAAGACGGTTTAGAGACCTTTAGCTTGCGACTATTTAAAATCTGGTCGGAAGCTATGTAAGGATTATGTTAATTTTATTAACTGTTAAATTTTGAGTTAAACTTCTTTCTTGTCAAATCCTTAACTTCAACTTACTACTTCCGGCCAGAACGTAGTTTTAGAATCACGTCTGAATAATAACAAGGAGGCGCGAAGTTCTTTGGTCTTAACGAGAGAGTTACCAGGTATTCTGTCTGCACGCGTCAGCCTTTTTAGGCTGTTCTCTCGTAAGCTATTATTACGCTCGGCCGTACTCAGGCCCTTGATAGCTTCGCAGTCATCTCGTGTTTTAAAGGGCCAACTCGGTTAGAACCTTGATAGCTTCGGCTATATTTCTTTAGTTTAGATTAGTTAAGTTCAAGCTCAAGTGTCGGCTTTTATTGTACACTACAAGACGGAGTTCTGTTAAATCTTATCTGAATAATAAAGGGTTATTTACCCTTCCATCTTGTTGTTTCTTGTCACACGAACTCAACCGATTATTCACTTATCAGTTCTTAAGAATCTTCACGTTCAACAGTAACTTAGAATCACACTGTGAGAAAATCCAAAATAACAATCTAAATACAGTTATAATATCTGCTTTCCTGTTTATGCTTCTAAAGGACGATCCAATCATTTCACTACGTTTTTATTCCCCAGAAATGTAGAAGAATTACATCATAGAGTTTATTGAATGGTTTTGCAGAACTGCTTGCAAAATATGTATGTGTTTATGTATATCCTATCTGACGTATGTATTTAAGTGTACATACAAAATTTGTACGTGCATATGTTTATGAATATCGTCTAAGTGGCAAACACTGGGCAGGATATGCTTCATGCATATTGACTTCTTTATGTATGTTACATTTGAATAATCCTTATAAAAATCTGTAAAGATAGGCTGTACTGAAGCATTACCCCTAAAACAGAAGGCGGATTCCCTCTTGATGTTACATATATAGGAAAAACAAGTCCTGCTTTATAAACAGAAAGCGGATTCTCTCTTGATGTTACATATATAAGAAAAAGAAGTCCTGCTTCATAAAGAAAGGAAAGCAAGGATATCTAGCCTTCACAAAATGTAAATATATGTAATTAAAGAAGCATCATTCAGAGTTTTTTAATTGTCAGTGATCTGAACGTTCAGATTCAATTCTCAGTAGAAGCAAAATCTGGACAAAATAAGACAAAAAAATTTTTCTTATTAAAAAAGGCAACACAATAGCTTTTTTCAATAAAAGTTTTGCTTTGAATTTATATTTGGTAATATTTGTAGATGTCAATTCAAAAATTCCTTCTAATAAAAATAAATAAAGTAATTTTCTAATCTTCAGGCAAATAAGTTTGTGTTTTATGCTGTGGCGTAGCTATAGCTTTTGCCGCCCCTCTTGATATACAAATTAATAACTAAAAAATTGACTTTTAGAGTAATAAACTGTATATTTTTGACTAAAATTTCTAAATCCAACGCTTTAAAATTATATTATTATTTTTTCTTTTTCTTTTTTTGTTTGCAAAACCATCGATGATATCGTAGACGTCTATTGATTGCTCCAATTGTTGATGTATATAGTATGAAAAGATTTCTTATGCAATAATATTACACCATTTGGAAATTTGTTGTGGAGATTGTATTTTAGAATAAGCAGCAAAAATTAAAAAGGATCCTCCTTCGACATTCCTGTTTCATTTTCTCTAGCAATAACGAAAATAAAACTCTGAAATACTTCTCTTAACGAGAAATTCTTTCTTGTTAATGACATCTTGATATAGTTTAATTAATATTCGTAATTTTCTTTCAGAGATTTCGTTGAAATTAAAAGTGTATAATAAGAGCATGTAGCTGCTGAAATCTCTTGTAATAAGCTATTATTTTTCCTTCAGTTTAATCCCTTACGGCAATTCAGAATATCATTATTAACCATGTTAACATGTGTATCACTTCGAAGATACACATGGTTAACTTCTATTAAAAATTTTTCCTGCGAAAATTGTTGCCTCCACTTGTGTCTCCAGAGGTGGGCAGCTCCCTTCTAGTTAGCCACTGGGTTTATGCGTAAAATTTTATTTATATTTATTCATTGTATAAGTTTTCTTTCTTTCTAAGGGTAGAAGATCCATTCACTATATTTATATTTTCATCACAATCGTTTTATAGTGTAGTTAAATATTACGAAATGTAACTCTATTGACATTATAATAAAGCATAAAAATTTCTATTTTTATGTAAATATGTCAATGCAAAATGTCAGTTTAAATTTTTACAGCAAAATATTGCTTACAGTTTTAAAAGTTGCAAAGTTAAGACAGGTAAAGAGAAATTTGTTTGTCCTGTATCCTACATTGTTCTTGAAGTAAAGAAACAGAGACCGACTTTTCTGCAACTTTATTACATGCTCGAAAAATCATGAAATCACACATTTTGAAATCAGTAGCAATTACGGACATTTGTTTAAGAACATCTTATTTACAATATAAATAATGTCATATAAACAATAAACTATATTTTTCTTTTTACAAATACATCCATTTCCTACCTAAGTCACTTGTAAGCGATTACTAAATATACTGATATTCTTATTACCTTCTTATGCTATTTTACTGTTTACTTACGAAAATTCATTGTTAATTTTATTTTATAACAGTAAAGTACAGGAAAAATATTTCTATGTAAATTAATATCTTACACTATCTTAAAACATGTAATCAGTTTTTCTATCACACTTTTTTTATCAATTGATTAAGACAGAAAAGCTGTTATAATTAAATATGAATATAAAGCAAAATTTAAAATTAAATTATAAAATAATTTTTATGAATGTTTATCTATTATTCAGCTCAGTTTGCTTCAAACATAGCAAGAATTAACAGTCATATAGCAAAGAATAACATAGCAAGGAATAGCACTGTTTAACAGGGAAAAAAATCACGTCTGAAGTAAAGTATTAGATATTTGGGAAAAATAACAAAAATATTAATGTTTTATGTTGCAAAACATGTTAGTTTATAAAAAAAAACTAAGAATAGTGTGGAATTTACTAAAATTAGTTAAAAAAATAGCGTTTGTTTTGAAATAAGAAATTATTTAATTCTGTAAATATTGATTATTTCCAGATATAATTAAAAAATTACCGTTTTATTTTAGAATATTTAAGATTTTAAATTGTTTTATGTTTCTGTTATTCTTGAAAGGCAGAATACGAACAGAATTAAATATTTAAAATTTTAGGAAAGTGATTATATGGTGAATTGTAATATGAGGTAAGTTTTATGAGGAATACATTTTCAAGGAACTTTTGAGTCAAAATAAAATCTTAGTTAAGCTTATTTTTTCAAAACATATTAAAGTTACTTCTTTTTTGAAGCACTTCAAATCTGAAATGCTTAAATAACTAATTATAGATGGGTTTTGCCGATATTTTATTTAATAGCTGGAAATGCAAATTCACTTTTTGTACTTCGCTTTTCAAAGAAGCTACCATCCGCAAAGCAAATATACCACTTTGGTAATATGTACCACTTTGGTAAAATTATTTTGAAGCATTTTAAAATCGATGCCACTATGGTGCTAATAAGACTTCTCTCTCTTATTCAGTTGTGTTTCCATTGATATGAATTAAATCCATTGAAATGAATTAAAATTCTTCTAATGAATTTAAAATTATAACATTATCTGTTATTTAAAACGGCTTTTATTTTAATTATGGCTTAATTTAATTAATTAATTTTTGTTTTAATTATGGCTTAATTAATTAAACGGCCTAATTTTTAAAAAGATTTCGGTTCCCTAATCAAGACATTGCCTCTTAAAAAATTCAACTTAGTAATATTTTGGTTACATTCTTAATTTTTGGATGCATTAATTATTGGAATTACTTCTTATAACCATAGATACTTAGTTCCGACCCATCCGATTGGCTTTTTGGTGCATATTCTCTGACTGGAACGTATTCCGCATATTGGCTGACGGGATCCTTGGCTGGATCGTAATGGGGATCTTGAGAGAGGCGCTGTGAGTGAGCAGAATACTCGTTCCTCTGAGGACCATAACCACCGTATTCTTGTCGGGGAGCATAAGCTGGAATATCTCCTCCGTATCTTTGAAGTGGCGCATCATAGTGGGATGCTCTTGGTGCATAAGATGGGGCTCCGATGGAAGACTGTGCTCCATAGCTACTGCCATAGATAGCAGGTTTGGCGTATTCACTTGCCTGAGCATAAGAACCTCTCCTGTTATAAGAACTTACGATTCCAGTGCCGTGTTTAGGAGCAGGTGCAGGACCATAAGCTACGGGAGCATCATAAGTTGGAACGTGGCGTCCTTCGGCAACTGCCAGATCTTCTGCTTCTGCTGCTGGAGCTCCAATAACTGCTGTGGTCCATGCCACCAATAAAAGCTGCAACAGCAAAAGTATAATTTTTGTATCAGTTGCTGTGATAATTGTATAGAATCATATTAAATTTTTTAATCCCTTATTTCTTTACAGACTTTTTGTAATTTAGGATGAATACTATCCAAGTACATGCTTTCTAATACGCTAAAAAATTACTCAATGTTAGCAAGTCATGATAGACTCTATATATTGGAAATGCTGATAAATTTTACAATTCAAGCTGCAAATAAAAATCATTCTTTGCAATTTAGCCTGAGCTTTCAAACATGACTTTTAAATGAAGAACTTCAATACGTGTTAATTATTTTCAACTGGTGATTTGTAGACAACTATATCTCACATCACAGTTTTTAGACTAACTGGATCACAGACTTTGAATAAATTGTTAAGCAATAAAGTGTGAAAACTAATATGAAAAAAAGATCGTTTTTAAAATACGAGAATGCCAGTGGGAAAAGAAAACTTAAATTTATTATGAAAATATTTTTTTAATTAATAAATTCTGAATTATCTGAAAAATAATCAATTTTTATTATTTTTCAGATCATTAAAATGGAATGTCAAGTCGACAAAAAAAAAGCATTTTCGACACCTTGTTATTTTTGCGTTTAATCGAGGCACCCATGCTTCAGAAGCTGCCCGAGAGATTTCTGAAGTGTATGGAGACTGTGCAATGCCTGAACGAACTCCAAGAAATTGGCTTGCCGATTTCAAAAATGGAAATTTCGACCTCGAAGACTTGCAACAACTTGCTTATTCTGGACGGCCAAATGAGTTTTATGAAGAACGTTTGGATCAACTTCTGCACGAAGACGTGCGTCAAACTACTCAAGAATTAGCCTAACGAATAGGTTGTAGCCAAATGACTATAGTTCGACATCTTGGGTCTATGAGGAAAGTCCAAAATTGAAATAATATTTTTGTTATAAATGGTATTCCAAGCAAAACGGTTACGCTAAATCAGCATATTTTCGTGGCGTAAGGAAACATAGCCAAGACATGTGAAGCAAGTATTAAAACCATTAATAATATTTTTTAACTTTATAAATATATTGAGACTACTAACCTGAAATGACATGGAAAATGTAAAAGAAAGAGTAAAATTATCGGCCTGGATAATGCTGTTTAACTTAGAAATTTAAAACACACATACATTTGCCTCACCATTTACTATCTACAAAACGAGTTGTCTCATTCTCGAGTTCATCTACCTGGTTTTATAATTCGGTGATGCGTGCCATAGAATTGTTCATGAACAGAAAAAGACATGAGATCTCTTTTGATAGCTCTTACCAGTTAAAGTAAAATCGGTGGATTTGGGGAAGACATTATTCAGCATGAAAAGAAAAGATTGTGAAAATCCAGTTTTTGCCAAGGATACTTCATTTCATTGTCTAGAACTGGAATGCACGCTATGTAAAGAAATCATCTAGGGAAAGAGTCTTACCAAAACTTACCAGATTTTATGAAAAGCTAGAAAATAAGAATTTCTTGAATTGGTCATCTATACATTAGTATAGATCATCTATACATTAGTATCTTAATAGTATTACACATCACTATTAAGATGAATTCAGAAAAATATTACATTGAAACTTGAGAGAGAGAAAGAATTTGTGCTGTATGTTCAAATGCATGTGTGGTGTGGTTCAAATGGAATTTTCAACATGAACTTGGAAGTCATGAGGGCTTTTTGCAGCAGCATCATATCTGTCTTCTTGAAAGGGCGAAAAAATTGACCTGAACTAGTACAGAATCTTTAATCAGTCGAGGAAGGAGAGTTGAAAACACAATACAATGCATTAATCAATCTTTTAATTTAAAACACCATTAAAATTTTTATCATGATGATGAGCTGAAACAGAAAGGTGAAAAACTGGTGAAAGAATTGCCAAATCACGTGAAATCATGAATAATAAAGAAAAAAAAAAGACCTCATTTCCTGTTTACTGTTGATTATTGTAAATGCAGGTTCGATTTAACATGTGCTTAATTTCAGGTGCTGAAAATAATTTAATCACAACTGTATTTAAATGAGTGTTGAGTATAAATATCAACTTAATTAGGAATACATTAGTCAATTAAATTACATTAACCTAATATTATTTATTCTATTTAAGTTTAACTAAAAATCGAGATAACACTTTAACGAGAAATGTGGCTTGAGTACCTCTTCTCCACATAAGTGATGGTACATTTAAAATAAATATTTCACATTCCTTTGAATTAATATCTCAAAACATTATTTTTGCAATGTACTGTTTCATTCCAGAGAATATTTCAACAGATTCCAACAAATTTACCAAACAATAAATGACAGCATTTATTATTAAGACATCTCGACCTAGTTTTCTTAAAATATTTCTTTTGCTTATATTATTTCTTTTGCTTATATTATATTTATGGAGAATTATATAGAGAATTGTCTACTCAGTTAATCTCTTGCTTTGATCCAGAGAGCATCAGCTATCATGGATTCGAAAGCTCGGGAAAGAATGATAAATAGTAATAACTTAGCTTAGGAACTGGCCAGTAAATAATTTAGCTTAGGATATGGCAACAACTTGTTTATATTTACTCCTTTTTTTTCACGGAGCCATAATGGTTATGTTCTTCCCATCATAAACGTTTTGTTATGTTTCCTAAGTGTTCATTTTCATCCTAAACAAATCAAATAACTTTTAAAATTTTATTTTTTAACCAGTTGCTTCTCTTTCTTCTATTTTAAAAACAAATTTGTAGAAAATGAGACAAAGCATGGTTCTATTTTTATTAATTAGATCTTACATCCTGCTTTACAGGTATATAGTCAGGCATTGTTCTATCTTCAACCGGCTGCAGATTTCATGTTAAATCGAGAGCAGAACAGCTGCTCTCCTTAATCGCCAACAAATTGCTAATTAGAAACGCTAGCTTCGATGATTTATTTAGTTACTTTCACGTGTCATCTTTTACCCAATGACGTTGATTGCCACACAAGTCATAATACCGCGCTTGTTAAAACTTCCGGAACTCATAGCAGTTACAAGCTGATGAATTCTCAATCTCTGTCAGTTATTATTCGTCAGTTCCTCATTAGTATTCAGTTAAAGTCTCAGTTACACCTGCTACCTGCTGCTGGTCTACTTTTTTCGGTTTAATGATTCACTTTTATTACTTTCACTGACTGAACAGCTGAATTCGATGAATATTATCCATGGAATGAACATACTAATTTATAGCTTCAACAACACTGGCGTTTGAAGAGATCTAGAAGGAAATTTATAATTCGAGGAGCAATAAGGAGATAGTGGAAAGCAAGTGAACATTATAAGAACATGAAAAGTTTAATGGGTTAAATGTATTTGAAATAAACATTTAACTTTCACTTAATTTACAGATGTTACTGTCACTAATCTTAAAAAGAATCATTTTTAAATAGTATGGCCCACCAGCGGCCACTGAGGTAAGGTTGCTGATCACTGGTAGTTCGATTCGGGTTCAAATTCAGGCGAGCGAGATAGCTGCGTAATTTTATCCATGCGCGAGATCTCTACGTGTGACGTAAATACGAGCTAGTTTCCTTATGAAAGTCTTCCGTGAAGGCATTCCTTCCATTAGGCAGATAGCTGTCGTGTGTTTTGCCATAATCCAAAAGCACCAACCCTCTTTTCAAAATGATATCATCCGTTTTTCTTTATAGACCATACCCATAAAAACCCTTACGTTTTGTTGGCTTCCGTTGGTCATAGACATATATTCCTATTACAGAAATGCTTCAAATGACGCAAATATTCAGGGTTATTTTTAAATGAATAATAATAATGATAATAAAAACAATAATAAAAATTTTTTTGTAAAAATTACTAAATTTAACATTTTAATATAGTCCCTAACGTATGCTTCGAAAAATTTTACGCATTTAAAAAAAAAATTTAATAAAAAAAATTTGACTCCCGATCGACAAAAATTGCCTTGCATATTTCCTTTTAAAGTTCGTGAAAATATCAGCTTGGAAAAGGATTTCTGATGTTAATAAATTAAATAACGTTCTTCTCTATTCAGATTACCATGATAAAAGTAATGAGCAGTATAAAGCTCTCACAGACTTATTCATAGAATCTTACAGAGTTTGTGTGCAGGTTCATTCGGTCCTGGCACTTTGCCAACTGCATAAATTAGAGCATAAAATTATCTCTGTTTTAATGGACTTGTTTGCAGGACTATTAGAAAATGGTTCTAAAGCAATAAAACTTGATAAGAATATTAATAACGTATTTTTAGCGTTTGAAAATTTATAAATTACTTGTGCGAAAATTCGTTCAATGTAGCACGTGTAACAAAATTATTATTTAAAAGAATGTTACCCACTAGTAAATCACAAATGAATATCACTGAATGATACGACTATTTAAGGGAAACATATCAACCATAAATGATTCTAATTTATTTATTAAACCGATCTTTTAATGCAAATTGACGTCAAATATCTCAGATTTTAAAATTAAATATCTCGGTCAATTTTTGTCGTACGGAAGTCAAACTTTATGCTTGTTTATCTACCGCCCACTTTGTATATGTTTCGTAATATTTTAATTGAGTGTCGAAGTTTTAATAATCTTCATCAGAAATATTTTAATAGCTGTGACTCACCTCTCGACCGTTTAATCGGAAGAGCGGTCAATTGTAATTTGTTTTATTATTTAAAAGAGACTGGCTTTTATTATCTAATGTAATCTGTTTTGAAAATTGTGTATTGTACTTTAATGTGTGCTTTTACCTTGCTTTCATATGATTTCATCCTCTGGATTTGGTAAGCAATTTCAAAGCATCATTCATTCATGGTTTAATCTAACTCGTGTTTGGAGCATTATAATAATTTTTGGTTTTGCGCCAAAAAATCTCACTCACTCAGTCAGTATCTACAGATGGCATTCAGACTCATCTAATGCAGGGACAGTTAACCTATTTTCTACTGCCCACTAGTGGCCGATTTAAGCCTTAATACGTTGGGCAGTAGAGGC